TCACTGATATTTAACACAAGGATACATTTATCAACACAGAAGAGAAAGTGATACAAAGTAGAGATATGCAAATGGTTACAAATAAAGCAAAACCATAATTGTTTCCCAGTGACTAAAACTTAACAGGCTACAATATTGCATTATGATAAATTTCTTACCTAAAGAAACCTTTCACCACTCAAAGATACAAACAGTGCTGTCCTCTTTTTGTCTCTTGATCAATAACAAAGGCGTATTCTCTTCTTCTGATAGTCCAGTAAATTGTTGAAATGCATTCTTCTGGCCCCAAACAAAGTTCTTCTCCCCTGCTGTTTGTGCTCTAGGAAGCTGACACCATGCTGCTTTTATAATCCTCTTGATAACTTGCTTTTTCGGTTGCATAAAAATGCAAATGCAGAATCCTTTGTGTTTGGTTTCACAATATTTGATTCTCAACAAGGAATCTAGGAAGACAGATAATTCAACATTCCTTTGCCAGGGGAAGGCTCATAATCCATGCTGCTTTGTTACATTTTTTTAACATATTTTAGTAGCCACGGACAACTTTTCAGATAACACATGGGCACATAACATGCAATGGCCAGGATGACTGCTATGGCATATGTTTTCATTTGAAGCCTTCCACAGAATTCTTTATATATAAATACCCTGAAAGTAATGTTAGCAAGTTGGTCAGGATTTATGCAGTTGCTGTTACATGACAGTGAGCCCTTTCCCAGTGGGCAGTGAGGGGTTCTAAGAGCACACTTCTGTGAAGAAGAGCCTCAGTGTCTCAGAAAATGGTGCAGTTTGCACTACTTTTTTTTCCCTGGCAAGGTTAATTCTCGGCTATTCAGCTTTGGTTTGTTTTTAGAAAAGATCATGTCTCCAGCACGATAGCATATTGTAGAATTCACTGTCAGTTTTTGTACTCCTTCCTATGAAGTAGACCTGGATAATGGAGCCTGAATTGCTATATACTGCTAATTTGCCAGTATTATACTGAGTCAAGATCTCTTACAAAGAGCATTTTCCAGGCAATTTTTTTGTGAAAACCTTTGCCCTGGATTTGTTATCTCAATTCTTTATTGTAGATTCCTTTATTGCTTTCAGAACAGTTATTTAATTTCTTCAGCAGCAGAACACCAAGGTTTCACAAATTAAGGAAATATTGGATAAAACCTTCCTATCATTCACTTTCAAATTACATGGGGATTTTTTCAAAAGCCAGTTGATTGCATTCATATTCTGGCAGTATTGTACAATTAATATTGAATGTATGAATTACATATGAAGCAAAAACACGCCTGCAGTCCTTTTATGGGTGGTAGATATGGCTTTTGTTAACAATGCATGCATTTTTGACAGATCCACTAATCGTGATTTGTAAGGCCAGGAGTAAAGCTGGTTATGCTTGCGATAAACATTGGCATTCAGATTGACATTAAGGGTTATTAGAATCCAACACTCTGAATGCTGCCAGTGCATATTGTTTATATTTGATCTTTGAAGTGCATAGCGAGATGGTGTTACAGCAGTTCTGAAATTATAGCTGTTCTATATTTATGGTCGCACCTGATTAGTCAGCCCACCGGCTTAGCATCTGTCTTTGCATTCAGTTCTGCCTCAGCTTGCAACTAGTTCAGTAAGAGAAATGCTTGAATTTTCATGCGTGGGTACATATGCTTAAAATGAGAACATTTCAAATGTTAGACCATAGCAGTTTGGAAATGATATTTTATTTAAATATTATAAAGCTCAATGAAGAAAGCTGAGTCAATGTAAAGCTATGGCAGAAAATTTAAATACCAAAAAAAAAAAAAAAAATCAGGACATTCAAAGTAATGATTCAATAGTAACCATGAGTCTCTCACTTTGTTTTGCATACCAATATGTGCCATTAAGTTTTAATACCTTATTTTATGTATGGCTGATTTACTATGGAAACTGTAGTGTTGAATGTTCTATCTGGGCATTTAAATGTTCAGCTATAAAGGTAAGGAAGGATGCGGAGGTTTTGCATTGAATTTCCTTCTCTCAAAAAAATAAAAATAAAGAGAAAATTCAAGGAATTAAAAATGAGTAAATCAGGAGTCAGAGAAGAGACACTCTTGGGAGGAGACACAAAATACAGAGGTCTCTTATATCCCTGTACACAGAAGAGAGAGTGGAAAGCTCTTCTTACCTCATTCTAGCAGAAAAAAGATGGTGGTGGGAGGGGGGAGAGGAACAGCGGGAAATCTTTTATCTAGCAGAATTTGCAGTTCCTTGCTCTTGCACGTGGTTTCTCTCTCTTTTTCTCTCTGAGAGACAAGAAGGAGGTAGAAGGCTGGGAGAAAAAAAGAAAAAGCAGGCTACACCAACAGGAATGCTGTGAGTTTTGGCATAGGGAGTTCAACTGATGGGATAACACCACCCCCACCCTCATGCTCACTTAAAAACCTGCATATAAGGGTTAAGATAAGAGTGTGAGGGATCATGGGGTCTCAGTTCCCCCACCTCCCTTGCAGGTCCCCAGGCAATCCTCAGACTACAGCCCCCACACAGTAGGTTGCCAAGACTAGCAGGGAGGGGGGCTGGTAGACCCTTGTTTAACGTAGGTGACATCACAAAGCAGCCAATTGGATAAAACATCTGATTCAGACTCAATGTTTAACCCAGGGGGAGTTACAGGAAGTTGTCTGAGCAATTAGGTAAATCCCTAGGTGGCTGCTGCATTGGACCCTGGCCTTCTCCTGAACCCTGTCTTGCTCCTGATTCCTGCCCTTGGCCTTGTTCCAGATCCCTGACTTCTTCTGTCAGCTCTGACCCTTGGCTTGACTCCTGACATGTGGTTCTGACCCTTTGCTTTACTCCTGACTCTGTTTCCATCGCTAACCTCTGGTGCCTGACTCCTGTTGTGACCACTAGGCATGACTGCCTAAGTCCTTGCTTTATAACAGAGGGAGAGCTGGAGGAAGATAACTCTGCCTCCATTCCCTGGTTTGCTCCTGTAGCTGCTCTTCTACTTAGTGGTTGCAGTGAGAGCTTCCTCTCCTGTCTGAATCAACTTTAGATTGTGACTGTATAATACCCAGACTGTTCATTAATATTTCAAATATCTTCTCCATCAGGGAACTGGGGAACATTCATTCTGACTATTTCCCAGCTGAAGAAAATCCTTCATTTGAAGAATAGATATCTCTGTCACTCTGTAGTGCTCCATGCTTTCTGACACTTCTGGGCACGTCTACACAGCAGGGCTAAAACCGAAATAAGCTATGCAATTTGAGCTATGTCAATTGCATAGCTTAAGTCAAAATAGCTTATTTTGGCTTTTGATGCTGCCTATGCAGCAGGAAGTCTGAGAGAGAGAACTCTTCCTCCAGCTTCTCTTACTTCGATGAAATGAGGGTTACAGGAGTCAGAGTAAGAAGTCCTCCAGCTCGACATTATGTTGAAATAACTGCTTGTAATGTAGACATGGCCTATGTTATTTTGGAATAACGTCAGTTATTCTGAAATAATGCTGTTATGTAGACATACCCTTAGAGTTGTCACTAGAGTGCTTGAGTCAGGTAATTCCAGGTTTGAGACTGAAATGCAAAGAAGCAATTTACTGCATATGTACACAAAGATGCAGCCACCACAACCAAAGGAAAGTTCATTCTAGATTTATACCAATCACCATGGCAACATGTATTCTCTGCAAGCAACTGGAATGTTTCTCTCAAGACTTTAATTAGGAGGGAGCCAGCCTCTCTTTCACTTGCACAATAATGAGTTTTATCAAACACTATGAGCATGCGTAATTGTTATCTCTAAAAGTAAATTCATGGTGTTAAATTTACACATCTAGTTTGGTGCACAAATCCAGCGTCTTAGTACACACAGCCTTTCTCACATTATTCTCACCAGTGTGCATGTGTGCTGGAGTTTGGAAATTCAATCTTGCTTCAAAGCTTCTCATATTGTTCAGCACGGTGCTCAAATTGTACAAGCTGTTTGCAAAGGAATCAAAAATTGAGAGAATTGGGTTTTACTGGGAACTTGTTGTTTCAATTGGGTTTTCCAAAAAGTCAGGAAATCCTGCTTCCTCATACAGCAAGCATTCTTTTCTATTAAAATTTCTCTATGCACCTGGCACTCCTGAGGTCTTCATGGAGTGTTAGACAGTTACTTCCTTTGTCTGCTGCCTTCAAAGGGAGGCTGTCCCATTACTTTTAGAAAAACTTGTCTGGTATTTGGCTGAAGGAATACGGTACAGCCTCTGGCTAACTTGAATCTGGGTCTTGAGAGGCTTTTGTGCCAATGTCCCCTGGGATTTCCCGAACTATGTGCAGGGGATTAGAGGTTCAGTCTGCAGGAAATGCCAGCTCCTCTCCCAGATAACCTTTCCCAGATTCAAGGATTAGAAGGCCTCGCAAGGGCTTCGCCCCCCAAAAAATCATAATGGAAAATCTGTGCAGCTACCTCTGAAAACACCAGGCAAAATGGGCAGAGCAGAAGACATGTGACTGGGTGCAGCTGGTGTTGCCAGTTACTGTGCTGTGCCTTTCGCAGATGACATCATGTAAAGTAGGCGTGCTGGAGGATCTTGTGGAGAAGGGAAGCTGTAGGGAGGGAGGAGGAGTAGTAGACACTCATATGGTTTTGTTGTATTGCAAATCCCTCCTGGGGATGGCACTGACTACATGGCTGCATCACATAGTCATCATTTAGCAAAATGGTAAGATTTTGCAGGACATGAGCCTCAACTTCATATTTGTGCTGGTAGAAGCGACTTCTTTTGATGAAATGCAGGAGCTTCCCCTTGATAAACTGTGATATGAGACACTGCAGTATTTTGCTACACTTAATATGTGTGAGGCAATATTGTTGGCTGGTATGAGTACAGGACTGTATTCTAATTGTGACTAGCACTGTGATTCCCCAGCAAATTATTTAACTGCTTTGCCTAAATTTACCCTTTTGCATAATGAGTCTAGTATAACATCCAGTGTAGTGGGCACTCTGTAAAGGATTGCACATTACACACAAAGTGAAATTATTTTTACGAAATAATAGCATTCCAGGCTAAAATTCTGCTTTTTCAAAAGAGCATCCATTCAATCTGGACACTATCTCTCATGGAAGTTGTGATTACTATGGGCGGAATGGCCACCAGGGCACCTGTGCTTTTTCCTCTTTCCTCTTCTTGCAAAAGAACTCCCTCTTTACCACCCACACATGCCTTTTTCCAAAATAGCTTTTTCGGAAAAGACGTTCTTCCTTGTAGAAAGAGGTTTACCAATGTAGGAAAAACCCCTCTGTTCTTTTGATTTTCTTTCAAAAGAATGTGATTGCAGTGTGGACCTAATTAAAGTTTTTTTCAGAAAGACAGCTGTTTTTCCGAAAACATTCTGCAGTGTAGATACACCCTGAGTGTCCCACACAAATGAGATACAAAATTGTGGACAACCTTTTGTACCTGACACTTTTGTCTGAAACCTGTGTTCCTCCCATTAAAAAAAAAAGTTAAAACATGGGCTTGAGGTAAGATCTGATAGTTCATCACTCTGAGATAGTATTGTTAGATGGAAATAAAAGTACCACATAACAGCCAGTCATGCAAAATGAATCTCCACATAGGCATGCTCATTTTAGAAAATATTGTTTTGAATAACTGCTTCTTTGTGACAGCTCCCCTCTTTTGGAGTTATTTTTGGGCCTGTTTTCAATCTGCTTTTTCTTGAGCAGTGCAGTAGGATTAATTCCCTTAAATAAATTAGCAGTTTTGGGTAGCATACCTAAAAAACCCTGACTTTCGGTGCTTGTATTCTTGTGTAACTCACATTTCTTTAGAGTGAAGCCACGATAATGCAATGTTCATCTAAATGTCAAATTAAAAATGTATATGAGAGAGTTAAGGATCCTACCCTAGCTAATTATTCACCAGGGGATTCTGAAATTCCATGTTAATGAGTAAAAACATGCAAAGAACCAAATGGCTGAACATCAAAAGCTGATTTTAGTGAATATGCAAGAGATTTAAAACTAGAGAGCCTAGATCAGCCCATGCCCAATGTGCATGGATGAAAAAGGAGTGAATTTAGATGATTTAAAGCAATACAATACAAGTGAAAAATCTTAAACACCAATGAAAGCAAGGAAGACCTGAGACATCCACAAACCAGGAATCCACATGTGCTGTGTGAAGGACAGATGTAAAACCGATGAAACTGTTTAAATGTAAAGCTGTAATGTGGTATTATCAGAACCTGTAGGGGAAGCTAGCTAGGTAAATCTTTCCAATCCAGATAGGTGAAGATGACACTGGTAACTTTGGGTGCATCTACACTACAGGGCTTAACTTGAAATAAGCTACGCAAATTGAGCTATGTCAATAGCTTACTTCGAAATTGGGAGCATCGACACAGCACTTATTTCAAAAGAGAGCACTCTTCCTCCAACTTCCCTTACTCCTCATAAAATGAGGGTTACAGGAGTCAGAGTAATAAGTCCTCCAGCTTGACAGTATTTTGACATTATTTCGAAATAACTGCCTGCTGTGTAGATGCAGACTAAGTTATTTGAAACAATGCTAGTTATTTTGAAATAATGTTGCTGTGTAGACCTGTCCCCAGGGAAGCTTCCAGAAAAACTGAAATTGGTAACTATTCTCTTAGCACCAGGAATTAGGGACAGCGCTGTCCATTTCTGTCATGTTTGCTGTGTAGGGATTTGCTGAAACCTAAAGTTGCAACTGAGTATTCTGGTAGCAATTATATCAAGGAGCTCACTTATATTTCTGCATTTGGGGAACAGAGCAGTACTGTTTTGTTTTTGTAGTTGGACCTCACTATTCTTATTTATCCCTGTGTCACCTCAAGATGAACTAATGGAATTAATTCTGTATGATGATACATCTTGAGGCCACTGGGAAATTGCTGCTGCTACAGAATGTGTCTGCAATTTATGCCGTAGTTTTCACATTAGCAGCCCACACTGCCAGTGCTCTGGGACCTACACTGGCCGTCTTTGAGTTTTGAATAGGATTCTAGTTGTGCTTTTTTATTGTGGTGTTTTGTTTTAACCTTGAAAGCCCTGACTGGGTTGAACTTAATGAAATGAGAGACTACATCTCTGCTTGTGTCAAGCTGCCACTGATAGAGATGCTTGAGCTGGTGCTGTTTCATGATAAGTAGGAATGGGCAGCTGTGAAGGTGCTTTCTGTGATGACCTCTCTAAAATTTTTAAAACAGAGTGGGAATGTTTATATTCCATAGAGCTTTCGTTTCCCTATAGAGCATTATGGGAGTAAAGTTCATAGTCTGGTTCTCAGTCCATTGTTTGTTGTTATGATGCTTATGATTTTGAAGAGACTGAACTTTGACAGAGGGTGGAGGGGTGAGTGTCCAAACGAAAAACAGTTTTGGTGTTAAGGAGTAGCTTTCCCAATTCTTGCATTTTAAAATACTTGCCAGTCAGTGGTTTCTTTGAGCAAAAATTTATTTTATATGCATTTTTTTTCTACTCCTTTCCCCTTCAATCCACATTTTTTTCCATCTGCTTATCTTGGCTCATCTTTTATTCCATATTTCACTGCCTATTCAATTTCTTTCTCTCTCCTTCCACCTCTCTTACTGCCATTCCATCTCTCCTCCCCCACACTGTGTTCTCTCCTTTCCCTATGATTTCATCATTCTCCCCCATTCAGTGTCTCTTTCACTCGCTTGATCTGAATTTTTTCTTTTTCCTGACATACCCCTTAATATACAGTCTCTCCATGCTCTCATGCACTCTTTTCTTCTTCTCAGTACACACATCTGCTACCCTTAAATCCAGTGCTACCTTCTCATTAGCTCTTTTATTTTTGCACTTTCTCCTCTTCTTTCCCTCCCACTCATACATCTCCAATACAGTGTCTCTTGCATCCATAAAAAAAGAAAAGAAAATGCTGATTATGCTGTTTGCTGATTATGACCCCTTAGGCTCCAAAACCCACTAAATCTGGTAGCTGCCCTGTGTGTGCATGTAATGTTACATTGAGCAACAAACATGGCTAATAATATTCCAGCATACATTCTGGCTCAGATAGTAAAACATATATATTTGGAGGGAAAGGCAAGTTCTCACAATGCAAGCTTTAATATTTTCTATTATTTTTAGATAATTTGTATCCCCATGGCTACCAACACTACCCTGAAGCGTTAAAATCTGGATAAAACAATGAAAGGAAAAAATGTCAAGAAAATGAATGAGGCAGAGTTGTGGAAACTAGAGAATTAAAAACATAATAGAGTTTATTTGACACCATTGGGTTATATTGGATTAGTATAGCTTTCAGTTATTTGCAGACAAAATTTACCAAGGTGCGAGGTTTTCATTTTCCACTTGTAAATACACATAAAAATGCATGAATGTTGTTGTGTCTAAAATATATATCTCATAGATAATGTTTACCCCCTTCAAATGACATTTAAAAGCCTGGCTGCCCATGCAAACATGCATGCTTTGCATACACAAATTAAACAGGATTTTACATCACTAATTGGTTAAATGGCTAAATGTAGTGTTTAACCGATTAACCAATTAAAGGAGGGGCAGGTGTGGGGGGGAGGGGGGAGGCTGCTGCAGCTCAGGTTTGCTGGAGCGGCATCCCTCACAATGGCTGGGCTACAGTTGTCCTTCCATCAAAGACAGGGCCTGCCTCAGCTTTGGAACAGGTGGGTGGGGACTCAGCCAGTAGCCCCACATAAGGCTGGCACCCAGCCTGTGCAGGGCTGCCACCTCATGGAGGAGCTGGTAACCCTGCACTGTGGTTCGGGGGAAATGGAGCAACCCTCCACCCATGGCTGGCTGCAGGCCTGGGGGCTGCTCCTTGGTACTGGGTAACCATTCACATCCTGAATGCAAATGTCTAAAAAACTATTCTATTAATCTTGGCTGCATGCATAGCTTTTTTACCATTTATTCTTAATCTTGTTTCCAAGAGGCACAGGACAGGACGCTTCCTGTAAAGTATTAGATAACTGTTCTGGAGGCCATGCAAGGGCTGCTAGTGTCACACCTCTGTTTCATCTGACAATAAATTGTGATTTGGCTGCTTTTCCTGTGAAAGCCACTGTCCTTTCCCAGGGTGAAATTTGTACATCCTCAGAAATTCTGCAGGGCTGTCTCTGTCTTGCCTAAGGAGTGGTGACAAATGGTATTGAATGACTGGTACACATCCCTCAAGCATTACATTGCTCATGGCCATTATATATCTGATTCTGTGATATGCTGAGCACACTCCTCTCACACTGGGTTCAAAAGGAATTCAGAACCTCACACAAAGGGCTAAGACTCTAGTTATTCGGTCTCATTGGAGGTGAATGAATTATGAGCCCAACAATAAAAATACCAAGAAATCACAGAGTTTGCCATATTGACCACTGCTAGAGATCATATGGCAGTACCTGATTTGGGGGGGAGGGGGTGGGGCGGAGGGAGGCGCTGTAGGCCCCAATTCAGAAAAGCATTGTCAAGCTAAGTCCCATTGAATCTGTGGATCTTTAGTATGTTCTTAAAATTAAGCATATGCTTACATGGGGGGGTTTCTTTTCTTTTTTCTGATCTGAAGCCTTGGTTGTCAATACCTAATGTTTCAAAGGAAGGGAACATCTCCCAATATGTACCTAGCAAATAGCATGATGCTGTTGTGAGAGGCAGGGTGAATTCTATTATAATCTCTGCAATGAGTTGACGCCCTGAAGCATGAAATAGCAATCAGTTTCTGTGCCACAACTATCAGATATGGTGTGCCTTGCTTATCATCCATTCAATAATACAGTAATAAATAACTTTATTTCAGAATTTGCCTTTCAGA